CAGGCTGGAGAGCTGGACGGAGAGGAACCTCCTGAAGTTCAACAAAGGCAAGTGCAGGGTCCTGCCCCTGGGGAGGAATAACCTCATGCAGCAATACAGGCTGGGGGCTGACCTGCTGGAAAGCAGCTCTGCCAAGAAGGACCTGGGAGTCCTGGTGGACAACAAGATAAGCAGGAGGCAGCAATGTGCCCTTGTGGCCAAGAAGGCCAATGGGATCCTGGGGTGCCTTAGGAAGAGTTGCCAGCAGGTGGAGGGAGGTGATCCTGTCCCTCTACTCAGCCCTGGGGAGGCCTCACCTGGAGTGCTGTGTCCAGTTCTGGGCTCCCCAGTCCAAGAGAAACATGGCACTCCTGGAGAGAGTCCAGCGGAGGGCTACGAAGATGATGAGGGGACTGGAGCATCTCTCCTCTGAAGAAAGGCTGCGAGAGCTGGGCCTGGTCAGCCTGGAGAAGAGAAGACTGAGAGGCGATCTCATCAACGTGTGCAAACATCTGAAGGGAGAGCGTTAACAGGATGGGGCCAGACTCTTCTCAGCGGTGCCCAGCAACAGGACAAGAGGCAACAGGCACAACCTGAAACACAGGAAGTTCTGTCTGAACCTGAGGAAAAGCTTCCTTACTCTGAGGGTGACTGAACACTGGCACAGGTTGCCCAGAGAGGTTGCGGAGTCTCCTTCTCTGGAGATATTCAAAACCCATCTGGATGCGATCCTGTGCAATGTGCTCTAGGTGACCCTGCTGGAGCAGGGAGGTTGGACTAGATGATCTCCAGAGGTCCCTTCCAACCTCAGCCATTCTGTGATTCTATTGAGGTTTCAGGGAGCATGCAGGTTTCTCTCCCCTTTATTAGTAGATGTGATGTGGTTAGATGACTTATCTTTGTCTATAGCAAATCTACAAGTATTTGAGCAGCTATTTGTCAAACTGCGAATATAAATTAAATGTTGCCATGGTATTTCACAGTCAACGTAGAAAACGCTGTTGGCAAGGCCATCTCAGAAGGTTAGAAGGAGCAACAGCAACACAATCTCTGGAGGTGTTAGGAGAAACAAACTGAAACTTTGGGGATAAGCCATCATACACAGTACATGTTGTGTAAAGTTGTGGGATGGCACATTATTTTTAAAATTTAACACCTGAAAATTGCACAGTGAAACCTCTTAAACTGGTGACACTGAAAAACAAGCATGAAACCAAAAACAATTACTCATCAGTTGACATATAGATGATGATTATTTCACAGGTGCTGTCAATGTTGTAATCTAACTTAACAGCCCAGGTACCTTGGTTTTTGCAACACAAATCAGTGACTTCTTTTGATGCGTTTAATGTCAACACAAAAATACACAGGCTGATATATTCCTTAGATGATTCATACGTATATAAATACGAACAATGTTCCCAGCAAAAGAATGGGCCCAGAATTGTGGCTGTTGGGTCTGAGGATTTAAATAGCAACATATTTGACTCTTGCATTCTTTTGTTACTAAGCTTGTGATGATTTGCCTGTTAGTTGATTGGCATATGTGGAGAAAAGCAAGTTGCACAGTATTAGATTTCCCTTTTAACAAACCCTGGTTTTAGGTTGGCAGAAATCGCGCATTCCCTTCTGAAATTGGCACCTTATGACACGCAGACAATGGAGAGCCGAGGTCTCCGGCGCTACATCATGGAGATGCTGCCCATCACTGACTGGACAGCTGAGGCGGTGAGACCTGCCCTTATCCTCATCTTAAAGAGATTGGATCGTATGTTCAATAAAATTCACAAGATGCCTACTTTGAGGTGAGCAGGTATAATGGAAACCTCTGGGGTCCGTTTCTGATGTTGCAAGCCTTGAAATATGGGTATGTCATTTTACTGAAACCGTCATGTACTGAATCTTTACAGCATATCAGAAAATGAACAATTTTTTTTTTTTACTGTTAGTGTGCATTTATGTTGACATTTTTCATTGTGGTGTCTTCTGGTAGCAAGAGAAGAAATGCATGATTATTGAGAACTTGCAGAAATCTCATTTTTTCTCTTTTCTCTGAAATAAGTCTTTAGATTTACACCATGTCTCCACCCTCTTTATTTATTTTGGTTATAAGTTGAGGAAATTAATTTTATTTTTTAATGGAAAGTTAAACTGCAGTATTTCTGGAATAGCTTCTTATGAAAATAGTGTTATTTTCTCTGTGAACATAAGAATAGTCTGGAACTATGTAGTAGCTTTAGATTGCTCCTTCATAAAGGGAGCAGAACTGTAGCAATTGCATCTAGCCAGTGGTCGGTGAAAACTAGTGCATCATAAAGTAGTGTCATGGTATGGCACAGGCTTAGGTGACTCCAACAAATATTCGCTATGGAGCTTTTCCACCTTGGAGGCAGTGATACAAATCCAGTCTCGGTAGTGTAAAATCTCCCAATGCTGCTGATTTTTCCAGTGATCTGAGTGAAAAGAGTCATTGGTCTTGGTCACCCATCATGGACAGATGCTCTCACTCGAAAAGCTGCTTGAATCAGTCACCTTGTTGGTAGTCTGAGCTGAGAAGCCAAATGATGCTGGAGAACGTCAGAATTTGGGACTTGGACACAAAACTTTAGGTCTCAGTGGGAATCATGTACCGAACTAAGATGGAGCAAATAATAGGGAGATGACCTCTTCTTTCTGGCATGCCTACCTGCTGCATTCCTTTTGTCTCCTTTAAGAAACTCCTGTCCTTGTAGGGAATTTAGAGGGGGAAATTTTTATGCTTTCCCTTCTTGCTGGTTTGATTCCTTGCCATATCTTGTCTGCTTCTTGCTCATTCTTTCTTTCTCTCGGCCTCGAAAGGACAGCTCAGGGTTCTTCCAGTTCCTGAAGATCTTTCCTCTTCGTGTAAGTTGGAAGAACGTTCATAAATTTGAATTCCCGTCATATCCTCTCTGTAGCTGTGCCTGCGCCTCTGCCTGGCTGAGACTGCTCTTCCGTACACACAAGGAGGGAGACAGCAGAGCTACTGATCCAAATACAGCAATTTGCTTTAAGCATGATTGGGCCATGATGCCTCTTAGAGACTAGGCTGGGTGGCAGAACTCAGCAGCAGCCCAGTGAGGTACTCACATTAGTACCTTACGTGCTGCCTCGTGTGGGTGCGCAGCTCCAAAACCAGTATCAGATCGGAGTCAGATCTTACGCTCTTGCATAAGAGCGAATATGTGCTGTTCTGGAGTAGGTTTGCGAACAGCAGATGCTGAAAGATGAGATGTGCGTTTGCATGCATAAGAACTTAAACAGTGAACAGTTGATCCTCCCTGTGCCTCTAAGAAGCGTGCTGAAGAGCTTGACTATGCGTGTCATTAAGCCTTGAGCTCTCTGATTTAAAGTTATGCTAGCCTTGTCCTTCTCTCCTGACTAGTGCAAAGTCAGATGTTGGCTTGACACCTGTGCTCCTCCAAAGAGTCAGTCCCCTAAGATGAAGGTTGGGAACCACTTTGATGTTACCTATGTTGTGTCTGCTTGTGGTTAGGAAGGACTCAATTCAGCATCTGTCATGAGCCCTAAAGGCTGTTCAGCATAAAAAAAAAAAATCAGAGAATAAAGTATCCGGAAAAGAAGGGCTTTAGTGCTGGTAGGGAATGAATAAACTCTCTTGCATGGGGCAAGGGAGGTGAAGACTGAGTACTATTTGGCCAGTTTAAATTCAGGGCAGACTGTCTGGCAGTCGCTCTGGCAGAGTGGACTAGACTGCAAAGTAGCTTGCAGAGGATAGTCACAGCTGATAGGGTTTGCTGTCTCCAGGCTGAATGGATGAGGACATCCACAAGCCAGAAAAAACTGAGAAATTGTTCTCTGTCAGGAGTATGGCACAGCACATAGGCAGATCTGAGACAGCTGTCTGGTGGCTCCCTTTAATTTACCGTCTACCAGGGAAGGAGTCAGGCAGTGAAACATAGCCCATCCGCCATTGCTGTTGTGAGGGTTTTTGTTTCCCTAATGCAGAGGGACAGGAGCACCTCTGCTATGTTTTTGGTCTCTCGAACGCCCAGCGTGCTCCGTGCTTTTCTGAGCTGCGCGGGTAACATCCTTTCTCTGTGACGCACTTTGTGCTCGTCTTGGACATCGTTGCTGTCTGAAACGTTTCCTTTGTGGGCGTCACTGTATGTCAGTTGCCGTGTTTGCGAGTGTCTGGTGGGGGGCAGGAGGCCACCGGCTAACGGCACCTACTGTTGTATTCCAGGCGCCAGGTTGAGTGGGAGCCTGCCAGCAATTTGATTGAAGGGGTTTGTTTGACTCTTCAGAGGCAGCCAATCATATCCTTCCTGCCTCACCTTAGGTCTCTGATCAATGTGTGTGTCAATCTGGTGAGTAGCCAAGCAGCAACCCTGTGAACCTTTGCTAAACCTCAGTCTGCTGTTGACTTCTCTGGACTGAAGATGACAGTTCATTCCCATTCCTGTCATTTTACCTGTCCCCTTTACCCCTTGCAAGGGGACTTCGCAAGTGACACTAGAGATAGCAAGGTTCATTTTTGAAGTGGTGCATGGGGAGATACAGCGACCAGTAGCCACGGTCAAGCCATTTATTTCCGTTACTTCCCACGCACCACTTTGAAGATCCACCTTTGCCACCTTGAGCTGAGAGTTGAGGGCTGCAAGTTGGAGAGTGGGGTGGAGGAGACTGCACACACCTGGTAGAGATGGGGGCGAGGGTGGCACTGGGGATACCTACCGTCTCCAGTGGGGAAGGAACCTGATGGCTCTGTCAGAGGCCCTCAGGTGCTGGCTAGTTAGAAGGGTTTATGTGGGTGGATTCACCCCACTGTTTGCAATGTCCCTGGCTTGATCTAGTGCAGGTTTGCAGTGTACAATGTTCAGATCCCACTCTTAGTCAGCAGAATTTATACCCGAAGTGTGTTACACCAGAGAGATGATATAGATTGAGCCTGCCTTGCCTGTCTGGTCGTTCAGTGGTGGACTGTAGTGTTTCTACAGCTGTTACGCTGGAGGCAAACCCTCATTTTGAAATCAGTGGAACTACAACCATTTTTACAAACATTCATGCTTATGTTCTGTGTGGAAAAATATAAATAAAAGGGGCATTTTTGTTGTAGTGGATTTAATAATCTTTTATTTTTGGAATGCAAACGTTGGAACTTTTTTTAGCAGTAACAGAAAACCTGTCAGGTTCACCATTGCTCTGAGGAGTTCTGAAAACAATGATTATCAATTTAGGTGCAGTACTGGTGTTTGTCAGCCTTCTGTTCTTCAAGCCTGTACAGGACTCAGCTGCAAGGGCAGAGAAGCTCCAAGCTGCCAGAATTCATGAGACTTCTTTCTTGTTTAAGCAGAGGTGGCTACTGGGAGGCACTGCAAATCTAGGCCCTCAGGCTATGTGGGGTTGGTTTTTACAGAGTAAGCTCATTGAGAATCAGCCGGAGCGCGCTTAAAAAAAAGCAAGAAGCACTGCAGTGCTGAAGTGCAGTCATAGTGCTTACATTCAGCTGGCTGGGGACAGCAAGGGATAGCTACCAGAGGAAGATGTACTCTTATTATTAAGTTGTGTTTTATCTTTAGCTGCCAAAACTGTGAGCTGTGGAAGAGCCCCTGACTGCATGCTAATGTTCACGTGTAGACCAGTTGCAGCATGTGTAGTTGCAGTTGCAGCATGACCAAAAAGAGAACAGCCGGGAAGGTGGGGAAACATATAAATGATAATCCATGGTGGAATACAGGAAGAGCTATGCCTCCTCCCCTCCTAAATTGTCCTTCGGTTTTCTAGCAGAAAACTAATTATTGATCTTCTTCCCAGGCTGAATTTGGAGAAATAGAGTGCATTCGTCTTGCCGAAGTTTAGGGGTCTGCCATGTAGTCTCTCCTTGTTCCCATTGTCTAGATCGGTCTAGTCATTATGAAGAGAAGCAGGCAGATGCAGGGCTGTGATTTAATTTCCTCTTGAGGGGAACATCCAAAACAGGTCAAATAACTCTCCCCTAGAAGTGCTGTTTTCTTGTGCTGACTTTTCATGAGATTCCAGACAACCAGTTCCTGTGCAGGTGACTGTATTTTAGACATCTGGAGTCAGGTGAGATGAATCGCGCAGAGTCCCTGAAAACAGGCTGTGTTTGAGAGGAATCTGAACATTGTACAAAACCCAGCTTAGGTCAGACTTAGGACATTGTTTTTCCGGTAGATCAGCAAGAGAAGGGAAAAGATGCCCAGTTTCAATGCAGACTTTTTGCTTTGATGACATATTTTTATTTGTTACAGTCGTTTCATGACGTATCCTCCAACTCTTAAGCGTTCCGCCAGTCCAGTGCTGGTCATTCAGGGCTGGTACTGGGTACATTTATAAATGTACCAGGTTACCTGTGCACTCCTCCCACCCTTGCTGTTTTCCTCTCCTCCCTTCCCTTTGCCTGCTAGTACTCCTTCTCCTAACTGGCCCTGGCTCCCGCAAGGTCCGCCGGGGTGGGGCTGGTTCTCCTAGAGCCACCCCAACCTGGCGCTCAGTGGAAAGCCCCTCCATTTCACATCATGTTGGAGGATATGGCATGGATGAAACTGTAAGTAGTCAGTTATGGTGATGTGCTCTGTTTGTATTGCAGGTGATGGGAGTGGTAGGACCCTCCAGTGTGGCTGACGGATTACCCCTTCTTCATCTCAGCCCTTATCTCTCGCCACCTCTGCCCTTCAGCACAGCTGTTGTCCGGCTTGTAGCATTGCAGATACAGGTGTGTCTGCCCTGGCCTGTGGCCAGGCCTGTTTTAGCTTCTAGTTGAGACACCAACTCCTCGGTGCTCTTTTTTTTTCCTGCAAAAGCTGGGCAAAAACTGTGGAACATGCACCAAAATCAAAGAGAAGCAGCATGTAAATTCTCCCATATTTGTGAAGACTTGAACTGAGCTCAGAATTCACCTGTTGGAGCCGCGTCCACAGCAAGCATCCATCAGCTTAACACTGCCGCTGAAGTGCAGGGAGTTCGGCTGATTGATGCTATCTCAGGCTCTGACAAGAACATTAGGATTCTTCACAGCATCTAAAGGGCTCGCGTAAGTCTCCTGCGACTGGAGACAGGCCCTGGCCTGGGTCATGCCCATGCAACCCTACCTCTTTTCCTGTGGGTGCATGTGCATAACCAAGAGTGGAGTTTGTGCTTGTCTGCTCTTACCTGGGCTGGTCACACAAACAGTGTGCAGGCGCCAAGAGGCAGGGCAATGTGGCTTTTCAGCTGCTGGCTCAGTAGCATCCTTGTTGTCCAGAATAACAAACCATCCTGGACTTTTTGGAGAATTTCATCACTATTCCTTTCTCATAGCAGTGCCATGACTATATAGACTCTTTCTGCCTCTGTAACCCTTACTCTCCACATTGGCCTAAAATCAGACAGAATGGAGACTACGGTGGGGCAGAATGCAGGGACAGATTTCCTAGTCCAGCTCCAACTTGAGTTTTTAAACATGCCTCAGCACATCCAGTTGGATTCTTCAGCAGGTGTTTCTGAGCTGTAGGGCAGCTCGGGAAAGAAGGCTTGTAGGCCAAGGGATCAAAACACAGTGCTATCCCTCTGAGCATGAGACAGAAAAGGATTTTTTGGCACTGACTGATACAGAAATAGCACATATTTCTTCCAGCTCTGAGCTAATGGTTCTTTAAACAAAATCATCACCTTCTTTCAGGTCTTTGCTCTTTTGTAAAAGCAAACACCAAATTAATCACTTTTTTAACAATATTGGGGATTTTCACTTTTTTTATCCTCTGCTCCCTGTTCGCCCATTCTTTTCATGGGTTTTAAATGGGAGGAAAACTAAACATGTCAGAAAAACACCTGAGAAACCATATTCCTAATACTTCCAGCAGGATATGAAACAGAAGTGCTTAACACCCCATCAGAAAACATCTGGAATTTCTCAGCCTAGGTGTGCAAGCTTGAGGGACTGTAAGGTTCAGTTTCGTTTCACAGCTAAGTCTATAGCAATTGGGAAAAGCTGTAAATCTGCAGATGTTCTACAGACAGTCACTGGTGTTGCCATCACTAAAGAAGAAGATGAAAGACATTATGATTTAGGTTTGTGTAAGTTTCAAGAAGTGTATGTGCATTTTATTTATTTTTTCGTTCTTTGTGTTAGGTCTGATGATAGGGCAGTGTAAGGTAAGACAGGGTTCAGGAATAACCTCCATGTTCAGACAGCAGAATATTTAGATTATATCATTTGTGTAACTCCCTCTGTTCATTTTTTTATTTCCTGTATTCTGGGCCTGATCTCATTCACAGCAGTGCAGAGAATTGGGATTAAAATCTAGCTGACTCCTGTGGGAAACATCTGGTTTTTGTTAATGATGTCTATCAGTTAGGAATCTGGGTGTCTTATCTCGTGGCTATGACAAGAGCAGGTGATGCTTATGTTACCCCATGAATTCCTTACTCCTGACTGAGCGGTCTTAGGGCTTCTAATTCAATCAGGTCATCACTCCTTGTGTTGCACTGCGTAAACAGGGTGCCTGGGGGTCATCGTTCCCTGCAGGAACTTGTGTGCGTGATCTGCTGATGAAATCATTTAATCCTTTCTTATTATTACTGCACAGGCTTTGAAAGAAGATTTCCCCCTAAGCCATGTCGTCTCCCCATTCACCAATCAGGAAAGAAGGGAAGGAATGCTTTTAAACCTACTGATTCCATTTGTGCTCACAGTAGGATCTGGAAGCAAAGGTCTGATTAATTTAACAAAAAGAATATTTCTCCTCTTTTTCTGACAAGCAATGTTTGCACTTTGCCTGCTCTCTGTTGACTTTTTTTTGTTTGGTTTCCTGTCACTGGCAGTGTGTCAGCTAAAGTGCCTGTTGGGTCTGAGACTCAAAAAAGCCCCATTGGGAGCAGTTGTTGTCGTTTCGCCTGTTTGTTTCAGCTGTGCCATCGTTCTGGAGTCAGGTCTTTCACAGATGTGCTCCTCCTGTTGAAAGAGGAGTGCAAGGCAAGACAAATCTTTTGTAACAGAAGCCAGAGAGGGGAGCAGACGTCACAGAAATTGTGTGCCCCTGTGGCTTGCACCCTGCCCAATCCATGCTACTTGTGCAGCACAAATCCTGCTCCTTGCTCTCTTCTATAGAGGGTGATCACTGTTAATGAAAGCAAAGAGCAGAGGGAGAGGGGGAGGCCAAAAGGAAATGAGATCACGAGATAACTGAGCAGGACATTTCTCTGTGCTGTATAGCTCTGTGTTTGTGTGTGTGTGTGTTGATGTTAAAATAAACTTTGCCTTTGCTTGCAGGAGGAGAAGAAGCATAACAAGGTATGGGGGACTAATTTTGGCTTTCGGGGACGTTGAGGTTGCACCACGTTTTGGAACTGAACAGGGTCTTTTGGGTGTCTTTGGGATGTGGCCTGATCTTTCTCTCTCTCTCCCCTCCCACTGCATCTCAGACAGCCCCTGGCTGGAGCAGCCTGAGGTCCTGCTGCTGCTCCAGACTGTTATCAATATCCTCCTGCCACCTCGCATCATCAGCACTTCCCGCAGCAAGAACTTTATGCTCGAGAGCTCCCCTGCCCATTGCTCCACCCCAGGGGATGCGGGGAAGGACCTGCGGCGGGAAGGGCTTGCAGAGTCCACCAGCCAGGCTGCCTACCTGGGTGAGTGATGGCTTCTGCTCACCCCTGCGAAGGGACAGGGATAAAATGAAGCATTCAAGACTGTAGATAGTACCAAAGAAAACCATCCCAGGCAGGAGCCAAATGAGCTCTTTAGGCATGCTTTATGTCTTGTGCTGAGCAAGGGGGACAGGCCAGAGCAGGAAGCTGGGAGTAACTCCGGGAAGTGTTGCAATGTGAGTGGTGTCTGCACTGCAGCTGGAGGAGGTTACAGCAGAAGTAGAAGTTGCTCAGTTTTCACAGTGCCAGGGTATCACAGTGAAGGCACAAAAGGCAAGTCAGCCTGCCCACCGGCCCCTAATGTCACAGCTTCAATGCCCCTTAGCTAGCCAGGGTGAAGTGTGATGTAGTCTCCCTGCGGGCCTTGTGCGTACACGGTCCTTACTGACTGGTAATCCTTCTGTCTGTATGCTGCTGCAAGGTAGTGCTATATTTTCTCACATATGGCCTACAGGTGCAAGGAAAGGAAAAAATAATCAAATCAGAGACTCGGCAGCAGTGCAGGTTATCAAGGAATATGGAGAAAGTTTTGTCTCAAAGCTCTCACTTCTCCAAGCAGCTTCCCTGCTTCCCTGATTTTGTGAGAGCACTTGCCCAAAGACTTATATTTAGGCTTTTGATAACCTGTATCTGAGGTATGGGCTATCGCAGATGAAAAATGACAATTCCCTACTGGTTTGTCCCTCCACCCCTGCCCCAAAAAACCTGCACACAGATGTGTGATGGCTGAGCTGTCTTGGCCAGCCCGTCAAGAAGGATGGAGTCAATCATTCTCCCAGCTGTTCCCTGGCTTGCTATTTGTTCCAAGGCCCAAAGCAGGGGAGCAAGGAAGCAGGGATATTCCTTCTCTCTCCTGTAAGCTGCCTGTCGGTCACAGCGCACTTTAATATACGGCATCGTTTTGAGCCTCATCTTTGTTCATCCCCTTTTGTAGTGCAGTGCTCTTGTGAATTATGGCCCTTGACTCACTGGACTGTGTTTTTGTTTAGATTACAGTTTGTCTGTGACTCATGCAGTTGTACTACCAGAAAGATTCTTTTCGTTACCCTATAAACAACCTGAAGGTTGTGGTGCTCACAGGGTGGCTCTTGGTGTGGATATGCTTGATCTAGATTTCTGAGGTTGGCTGAACAGACAGGACTGTATTCACACCCCGAGCTGGTTTCAGATCTGAATTCTAGGGGAGCAAAAGAATTGCTTTAGAAAAACTCTGCAGGGAGGAAAAGGGGAAGCTGGAGCAAGAAAATACAGAGGAACTTAGGCGTGAAGTAGGAACATTTCTGGTAACTCACAAGTAAACCTGGAAATGGGACTCAAAGGCCCTGATCCTGAGGTCTTTGCTATAACAAGGCTACCCTCCTGCCCTGCAGCAGTTGGAGACTAATAGGAAAGACACTTGTGACTTTGAGGGGTGTGTGTGTGTAGGTGCACGTGCGTGTGCACATGCCTGCATGCCTGCATGCCTGTGTAGTTTCCTTCCCACTGTGGCCCCCCATGCTCCCCCCAATGCTTGTAAAGGACGCTGGTAGCATCTCTGACTGCCGTTTGCTGGTGTGTGTTCCCCTGTAGCCCTGAAGGTGATCCTTGTTTGCTTTGAACGCCAGCTGGACAGCCAGTGGTACTGGCTGAGTCTGCAAGTCAAAGAGATGGCACTGCGGAAGGTGGGAGGGCTAGCCCTGTGGGATTTCCTCGACTTTATCGTGCGAACACGGATCCCTATCTTTGTGCTCCTTCGACCCTTCATCCAGTGCAAGGTAACAGTTGCTTTGGCTCCTGCTAGGTCACTCCCTGAAGGCAAGATATCCTTTATTCCCCTGCTGCGAACAGAGGCAACACCACTCCTGGAAGAACTGGGTGTTTATGTAGGGAGTGACTTTTCAGAAGTCTGGATGTGCTACTAGGCCTCTGAACGCTTTGAAAACAATCACAAAGTTTTATCCTAGACATCAGTAGAGTACACCAATCATAGAGAAGCTCTGACCCACGAAGTTGTAGACCAGGCTTAGCTCCCCTGGTTGGGAAAGTGCTACCAGGCTCGACCAAGAGCTCTTCCACGTTGACTTAGTTTTGCAACAAAGACGATCAAAGCACTTGGATGTATTGTGGATGCTCTGAACCTAGGAGGAAGTTGGTGTGATTAGCAGAAAGCTTCAAGAAAAGCTCTTCTGAACAGAGTTGGGCAATACAGCTAACAGCCAGGAAGCACCTCTCCACTTTACGTCTCTCAGATGTAGGTTCTGACAGGACTCTTGTGGATAGACAGACAGCTGCTAGGCTCAGGCTGCAAGGGCTTAAGCTAATCTTGGCTCTTCCCTGCTTACCATGTGCCACTCCACCTGATTATTTTGTCGTAGCCCAGTGTCTCACCACTTGGACAGACTGAATCATCTAGGAGGCAGGAACTCTCTCTCACGTGAGGGTACAGCTTAGTGCAAGGAAGCCCTGGTCCCTGTATACTAGCGTCAGTGAGGTTTTGATATAGTTCAGTTCAGTTAAATATAAGATTGTCCCTGAAAGACAGGTGGAAAAACCTCTCATAGTTACAGTCAAAACCCCATGCCTACAAGGAGGACAGTCTGCTGGCTGCAGGCTCGCACTGCTCTGGAGACTAGTCCCAGCTCACTGGGTATCGTTTTGTTGCAGTGCTAACATGTCCCAATTTTGTTAATGCCTTTCTCAGCTGCTGGCCCAGCCGGCGGAGAACCACGAGGAGCTGACTGCCAGACAGCACATTGCCGACCAGCTGGAGAGACGGTTCATCCCACGCCCTCTCTGCAAGAGCTCCCTCATTGCAGAATTCAATAACGAGCTGAAGATCTTGAAGGAGGCAGTGCACAGTGGGTCTGGTAAGCAGGCCAGTGAAGAGGCCGGCAGCCATCAGCCCAGTCTGGATGGCTGGCTGGGCATGTAGGTTGACTTCTGAGGCAGTCCTGCCCGCTGTCTGGAAGGGGGATGGGATAATCCACTTGCACACCAGCAGCCCCTGCCTGGATCAGTTTCTGTGCCCAGCCCAGGGCTTGTGCCCTTTCCTGCACCTCTCCCAGCAGCTGCCTCTCGCTGTCGCAGCCGGCCCCCAACACAGTGCGGAAAGCCATTACCTAAACCTCTGTAAACCTGAAGCTGCTCTTGTAGAAATGTCTGCCTGTTTGTCAGCAGCAGATTTGTCTCCTCCTTCCTCCTCTAAGTCTACTTTTGTTTTTCTTTACTGTTACAAACCAGTGAGGTCCAGTTTAGCGTCTCTGAGGCCGCAGCGCACTGAACTCTCCATCAGTTTCCTTTCGAGAGGGGACACTTTTCTCCTGTGCTAGTTACCTTGCAGCCACGAGAGGGCAGCCACGGCTTACACACGGGAGAGATTTTTATGCGCTTTGTTCTTAGGAAAGGGAAAAAAAATAGGGAAGAAGTTGAGAAGAAATTGCCTTTTCTCCGTGGTAATAATTTGCTTTATTTCTAAATGCTGCAGCTGATCTGGAAATTGTGACAGTAAGGTTCAGGGAGAAAACCAGAGGGTGTAAGAAAAACAGCCGCAGCAGAGATTTCAGAGAGATTAGGTGAGCCAGGGCAGCTATATTCGTGCAGCATCAAGTGAATCTCTGTTGAGAGAGTATCTGTTTTACCACCTCCCTGCCCACTCACAGCCCCATCCGTGCAGGCTGAATGAGGTGTCCCGACATGGCTGGAACGTTTGGTTATTTATTTCCAGTGCCGTCACTGACTTGGGTTTGGTTTTCCCACTCTTGCGCAGCTTACCAAGGGAAGACATCTGTCAGCACTGTGGGCACCTCCACGTCTGCTTACCGCCTGAGCCTTGCTACCATGTCCCGCTCCAACACAGGCACTGGCACAGTCTGGGAGCAGGACAGCGAGCCTTCCCAGCAGGCCTCGCAGGACACGCTGAGCCGCACAGATGAGGAGGATGAAGAAAGTACGTGGCTACTGATTTGAGCTAAGCACCCAACACTGAAGATGTTTTCTTGATGCCACAAGGGAAGGCAGTTGATCCTGTCCTTGTACCAGTATGAACAAAAGGCACATGGGGGGGAGCATGAGGCTAGGAAATAGGTGTGAGACATTATCACAGTGAGTGATAATATCTCCTCCTTCCCTCCTGAGCTCCTGAACAGAGTTTCCCTCCACTCTTCTGGGTAGAGAAAAGGGAAGGGCACAGAGATTTTAGCAGGTGAGAGCTGGGCTGGCCTGCGATCCTCACAGTGCTGACAAGGCATTTAGCTATCCAGTCCTCTCTTTGACCTTAACTATGAGAGTAGGCTGGCTCTGTTGGCTGGCTCTGTAGTGAGCATCCTGTTCCTACAGGACCTTAGTACTTCCTGCTCCTCACTTCTGTCCAGATGCTCTGACATGGGATATGTTGTCCTCGTGCAGCATGGGATCCAGCTGTGGCTCTCTGCAGGGTGGAGTGGCTGTGTGCTCGTGTTACCCGATTAGCAAAGAGGACGTTAAGCCTTAAACCCACTGACAACAAATGCTTGTCCTTCTTTCTGGGTTGCTGGCAAGTCCTGAGTTGCCAGTCCTGAGGTTTTCTGGCACCAGTTTGAAAGGAGTGGGCTGGTGAATCCTTTTGGTACTAACTTGTAATGGCCTGAATGTTGCTTCGTCGTTTCAGCTGGGTTCATGTTATTCTTGGAATTTTTCTTTCTTTCTGCTTCTGAGTTGTCCATCTGCTTCAGAGTTGTCCAGCATGGAAAGCCAGGGTAAAAAACTGCTCATGTGTCATCAGGCTTGGGCTTTCCCGTACTTTGGCAGGGATGTTGTCTTCTGATGCTGCAATGGTTGGTTGCTTTAGTGTCTTTTCACTTCTGTATTTGAGGAGTGCTGGATATTCCCAAAAGACATTAGACAAAAAATGTGAAAATGGGTGGTTCAGAAAAATGGCCTTTGTGGTTATGGAGGAATTGCCTTTTGGGAGAAAAACAGCCTGAAACTTCGCCCAACTTTGTTTCAGCTAGGTTCATTACTGAACATCGCATAATGCACCCAATGTTGCGCTGCTAATACATTGCTCAGCTGGACACTGTGGCAAACACTGGTTTCAGCCACAGATTAATTATGCGCCACTGTGTGGCACGATGAGTGCTATCTTCCTGTTTGCTTGAAGCAGTATTACTTCAGCCCTGTCTTATTTTAAAGCTGTCATAAAATACTTCAGTATTTCAAAATTGGAAAAGGCCAAAAAGAAAAGAGAAAATTACACAAAACTTCCCCTTTGTTTTATTTGTTTGTTTATAATGAAAGTTGTTGTGGTAAAAAAACACTGCAGAGTAATTTCTTTCTAGATACTTTATGCAACTTTGAAACAGCATCGAAAATTTTAAGCAGTCCTAATCACAATCCAACTATCTGCAGAGTTCAGCCACAGTATGATATATTTGAGTCAATTTATCCTTTGTGTGTGTGTGTGTGTGTGTGACTTGTAAAACGCATGTCCCAAACCTTCTTGAAGGTTAAAGGGTCAGCTGTGTATTTTGCTTTGTTATGCCTTTTGTCTTTTATAAATTGCTTTGCTATATGTTAACAGCTGTTTATTTTGTACCAGCACAATGTCCAGTTAAAACTTTTATGCCAGAAAGCATTGTATATTAGCGAACAATTTAATAATCACGGGAATCAAGCCCTAGTAGAAGCTAAATTCCCCCCTTTTTTCTGAGAGACATATAAACAGAAAACAGAGAGGTAAATCCCTGCCCCATGTATTCTGGGATCCTCATCCTGCAGAACTTGATGCATATGTCTTTCTGAATTACGACAGTAAAATCTAATAGAAGCATTCAAATTTGCAGGCTGGGGTCCTTGATTAAGGAAACGCTATGTAGACCTTTGGCGTCCTGCCATTGCTAGACAGCTGTAAATGTGTAGTTGGGGTTTAGGGTGGTTGTTTCGCCTCTTTTCCTGGTTTTTCTTTCTTTCTAGATGACTCCTTGAGCATGCCCAGTGTGGTAAGTGAACAAGAAGCATACCTTATGGGTGCCATTGGGAGGAGGCGGTTCTCCAGCCATCTCTCCAGCGTGTCTGCACCTCAGGCTGAGGTGGGCATGTTACCCAGCCAAAGGTAACAACATGGGCTTTTTACCTTTCCCATTACGTTCACGAGAGCAGAAATGGTGCAGGTATATTATGTATAACTCAGAGATGTGAGGTCCTAGAAACAGCGCCAACACAGAGATGCTAAATGTATTCGTCCTGAAGTAGTGTTGGACCAATGGCGCAGGTTTGGAAATACTAATTTTCCAGGATGATCTGTGTGGCGTAGGCTCCAGAAGAGAGAGCTGTCATCTCTAGAAACCTTCATCTTAAACAGTTTTGGAAATCCTCGGCTCTACTATTTTCCTCCGCTGATACAGTGAATAGCAAAAAGAGAAGACATGATTTTGGGTTCTGCATTGAGCCAGAGGACTCTGCGCAGTTCGTACAGGGAGTAGGGCGTAATCCCGAGAAGCTAGCAAAGAGGGCAGAGGTATTCTGTTTGATTTACTTTGTTTTCTTCCACGCGGTCTTTGTCCTTCCTAGAACAGTAACTAGCTTGTCTCAGAAGGCAAATGTCAAATTCAGGGAAGGGATTTAATGGGAGTGTTTAAAACCAGAAATATACTTGTTGATTGAAATAACCCCTGAATGCCTCTTATTCCTGGCTAACATGGAATGGGGAAAAAGGGAGAGGAATTTGGGAAAGGTACATGTCTTTAGGACATTTGGAGAGGGGAGTTCTGCATTTATATGTGTTTTTTTTGCTAAGTAGGTGTTTCTTATTTTACTTCTTCGTGACATAGTTATGCTAAAGATATCTAACAATGAACAGATTAATTTATGTTATTTCCTTTGAACCTTTAAAGAGTAAAATTCTACATTATCTCTTGACCAGCCTTGGAAAATCAAACAGCATTGTCCTCTCCCCAGTCTTGCTTGGAATTAAAGGAATAACCTTGATGCATGAAGGAAAAGTAACAGCTGTGGTACATGCCAGCAGAGATAGGAGAAGTGATTTACAAGGGCAGAGTTGCACAGATTTTATCCGGGAGTTTTCACAAAAGGGCTTATGGGAACTCATTTGATTTTTGAACCTAATTCATTCAATCCCTTTGCTTCTTGAAAAATTAATATGCAAGACTACATTTTCCCCAATCTTTCACTACAGCCTATAATGCATAAACTTCATATGAGCCACAGCTGACTGATTGCGACGTTTGCTTAGTGCAATCCCAAGTCATGGTGATGCTGAGAAAAAGTGTTTAATTAAAACAGAGCTTTGGTCTCTATTTTTTAAGTACGTGGTATACTAGGAAAATTGCTTTTCATCTGTATGGGGAAGTACAAGCTCACTAGGCATAATCATAGTCCACAACATCATGCCCTTTTTAGTTATGGATGGTCTCTGGGCTTTTTGACTGCCTCACAAGCATAAACTAATTAATGTGAAGTAATATTGTTATTGCCTTCCTGCTGGTTACCCAGCAGACTGCTTGCTTGCTTTCTTTCATGTTTTTCCTGTGAGCTGAGAGGGCTGCTCCTGCCTGAATGGCTGAAGTGTACAAAAGCAATGTGATTGCATATTCATTTGCCAGGATCCACACCAGCTGTTTGCTTACAGTTTCACTGCAGTACAGGACCTTGTTTTCCAGATGTTTGTCCTTAGAATTGTATCAGAATGAGAATGGTCTGCAGCTCATGGGAAACAGATTAGGAGTCCCTCAGGAAGAACTGATGGATCATGAGGGAGGGGGAAGAAAAAGGCTTTATATGAAGCTAGGAGTAAATAGAACCAAAATAAAGGAAAATGCTGCGGGAAAATGGCTTTGAAAACAGTTCCCTGCCTTTATTTCCTGTGAAAACACATCCTACTGAACTTCCCAGCTCCCCAGTTCACAGCAGAGATTTAGAAGTCTCCATGTAGTGTAAACTCCCTCTAAACGTTGCTCCTGTTATCAGATGTTCTTTCAGCTCCTTCTGAGTCATATATGTGCTGTTAAGCGTGCGAGACCAATTAATGTTACCGTCCTATTTTTACTTTTTTTATTCCGTTGATATTTTTTCCCTTGCAAACAGAGACAATCGCATGCTTTTTGCATTTTCTTTC